GACAAGTGGGCACCGGGGAGTCCCAGTGTACGGGTCGGAGGACTGGCTGACGTCATGCGCCTGACCCTTCTGAACGGAGTGTCAGATGGTCGAGGCGCATGGGCGCTAGGCCGTACGGAGCATTAATTGCGGGTCTGGCAAGGGGCGAAAGGGAAGGATGTTGGTCGGCCGGGCTTCGGGTATAAATAGTCGGTTGGTGAACTTCATTTACTCAGGTTGGGGCTTCTCTCTAAAAATTACTATTCACTTCTCTCTCTAGAAAAGGAAACTGACTTGGGCGTTGGAGTGCTAACGAGTCCTCTCCGGGACTCAGGTTAGTAGTGCAGCGTGCGGGAAGGATCAAGCGCGAGGGTTCGGGGCGCCTAGTTACCGGGCTCGAACAGGTTTGTCAGAAGATTTTGGTTTCGGGAAGGAGAAGTCGACAATGATTTAGGGATTGAGAATGAACCATTAAAGATAAGTTTATGTAAAATTTTGTTTTGTCTACATATTATATAAAAAGATATATGAATTAGAAGATTTCTCGATAGTTTTTATGAACCGATGTGCAACTATTGAAAAAAATAAAACTTTTTATCAGCCGAAATGTCAATAAACCAATTTACATACTACCAAAAAAAAAAAACCAATCTACACTATTAGTCAGCAACCCTTGTGTCGCTTGCTTTGTTGGCTAGGTGGGGTGGGCTGGGCTGACCAAAAGCAAATAGGGATGGCAATGGGTCGGGTTGGGTCGGGTTTTGCCAAACCCAAACCCAAACCCATGGGTTTATCTTTGAAAAAAATCCGGGGTAAAACTCACTGGGTTTGAAAAACTCAAACCCAACCCAACCCGTTGGGTATCCGCGGGTTCATGAGTACCCACGGGTTTTGTCGTAAAAAATTTACAATTACAAGTTCTTATCAAAATTAAAGTCAAATATCAATCTCTCAATACAAATTATCCATATATAAAACACAATTCAAGCAAATCACAAATTAACTATACAAATTGTTCAACACCAATATAGAAAACTCAAGAAAATTGAAGCAAATCACAAATTATCTATAAATAACATGTTTAATTGAAAGCTTCTTCCTTTCAATTAAGGTTCTTTACTCTCCACTCCATAACATCAACTTCATTCTACACAATTAAAAAGAAAAAATTAGACATGTCTCCACAAACATAAATAAGGTTAGTTGTTTAGAATATTAAATATACCGAAAAAATTAATTATATGGGTGGGCGGGTACCCACGGGCCGGGTTTACCTAAACCCAAACCCAACCCAACCCGGTGAATAGTGAACGGGTTTAAACCCAAATCCGGCCCAAAACCCGTCAACACGGATTTTACCCGCGTTGACCGGGTTGGGTCGGGTGGGTACCCGTGGGTTCGGGTTTTGTTGCTATCCCTAAAAGCAAATACATGAGTTGCAAGTTGCAGAAACACCACCATGATTACACTCTTTTATCTCCCCTCTTTTTCAAAAGACAGATTTCCTTTTCTACTTCCGAAGCCTTAAAAGTTAGTGGCCCTGCTGCCTACGGCCTACGCTTAAGAAGGCTTTTAATTACATCATGTATGTGTCTAAGTGGTAAGTATAGAGGATAAAACAGACGGAATTTTACAGAGAATAACATGAGCCACATTACTAGAGAATAGCATAAGCCAAGCTCTTAATAAGCTTCTGCCCATTTTGAGGTATAAAAGAAACTAAGCAAGTAAGATCTTGTTTCTTTTGTGTACAGATTATATAAACGAGTTATTAATTAGAAGCAACAAAAGAAGTAGGTGGAAAACCGGCCCATTTTCTTGAGCAAAAGTGGGGTTAATTGCAAGAATGGTCACTGGGTTTACTAAAATCGTTCATGTTTGGTCACTGCAAATATTTAATTCCATTCATGGTCACTAAGATTAGTTCAGTAGTTCAAGTTTGGTCACTCTCCGTTAGTCTCCGTTAGTTTTTGCTGATGTGGCAGTCAACTATTATTGTTGACCGTTAAATGAGTGACGTGGCCATTAAAAAAATAAAAAAAATAAAAAAATCTAAATATTTACAATTTACACCTCATTTTACAACTATTAAAAAATAAAAATAAAACTTACCGCCGCCATCTACGCGATCGTCTCCCTTTGCGTCATGACCAAATCCCTCGCCGCCGCTGCGCTCTCCGACTGGGTCAAGTTCGTCGAAACATGGCGACGGTGTGGAGGTACAAGGCCCTGGTGGATTTGCGGCAGTCCAAGGACGCCAAAGGGCTGTCCATGGCTGGGTTCTTGAGCTGGCTGATTTGGCGCTCTGCTTACCTGACGCGCGTCGTGAGCTGGAGGAACCGGTTCTACGTGGCGGTCAACTGGGCGACGACCTTCGTCTTCGGCAGGGATAACTCCAGGATATGAAGAGTTTAATTTATGATCACGATAATGATTCTTTTTGGGTCTGATTGAATCTGTGACAGTTCCATTACTATTATGCTATTATGTTGAATCGATTTTTTTTGGGTCGAGATTGCAATGTTCTGAGAAGAAGGGGGAAGATGAAATCAACACACACAAAATCAGATTGAACTAGAAATCAAAATTCATTTCTCTATACAAATCCCCTGTTTCCGCCATCAAAACTTCCACTAGCCGGAAGGCGAGAAAGTACTTTCTAGAGCCGACCCATCCGAAGCTTCAAGAATTTGTCTTACAACGGAGAATCGACGAAGACTCCGGCTCCTGACCGGCGGCGGAAGGAGAAAATGGAAGCGATGGAGTGAGCGAGGCCCGTCACTATCGCCACCTTCACTTGCCCTCGCTTGGGGATCGGCCGGCGCGATAAACGGTGACGCTCTCCTTTTTATTTTTATTTTTTAATAGTTGTAAAAGGAGGTGTAAATTGTAAATATTTAAATTTTATTATTTTTTAATGGCCACGTCACCCATTTAACGGTCAATTATAATAGTTGACTGCCACATCAGCAAAAACTAACGGAGACTAACGGAGAGTGACCAAACTTGAACTATTGAACTAATCTTAGTGACCATGAATGGAATTAAATATTTGCAGTGACCAAATATGAACGGTTTTAGTAAACCCAGTGACCATCCTTGCAATTAACCCGCAAAAGTGAATCCAAACATGAGAAAACAAAAGATGTTACAATGTCGAACCTTTTGAGCAGGAAAAAAGGGACTTTTTTTTGTTTGAGTAATTATTTCCATTGGATTGGCTGGCTGCTTCGTGCTTTTGTTTTGTTGGATTATCATACTTGTCCTCTTTCTTCCTCGGATAAGACAAGACAACTCTCGCCTGTGCTCTCCGTAATGGGCTTTTTCTAGTGAATTAGCTGATGGGCTTTTCTTGGTGAACTTGGAGCGTCACGTGACACATGGGTTGGATGGTTTGAGTTTAACATTTTAATCAATCGACTCATGCATTACGGTTTGAGAAATATTAAATCCAAACTCACTCAAAAAAATTTTAACCCTACGGTTTGTTTCCAATTGGGTTGGCTTGGGTCGGATTGACGATATTTTTAAGTAAAAATCCAATCCAATCCAACCCAACACAAAATATGTAATTATTCTACACCAAAAAATATTTTATAAATAACTAAATTTCAAATGAATAAACCGAGGTGAAATGCATCAAATTTCACAAATGTTGTTTCAGTTTTAATAAAATGTGATTTACTTCAACATATGTCTAGTTTTTTCACGATATTTGTTGAAATAGGCTAAAAAGGTTATAAACGAATGCACCCAATATGTTAATTCTATTAAAATTGTACACAAGAAAAAGGATTACATGAATGATAGCTATATTGTATTTATATCTAAACTTTAAACCTAAGAATGCATTAAATTAGGAAGACCATGAGAGAAAAACATTGTGAAATATCTTAATTTTATCATAAGTATGGCTATATATGACATAAATATTTTTGGATACGAACTCCTATCAATAGTTGGAACACTGGCTGGGTCGGGTTTTACGGGTTGTGTAATCCAAAATCCAACCCCAACCTAATAGAGGCGGGTTGTACAAAAGAAAACCCTCACCCAACTCAAAATCTTCGTTTTAGCGATAAATACAAGTGGGTTTGGTCGGGTTGGACGGGTGTGTTTGTTCCATGGTCCATGAAACCGTACTGGAGATTGTACCGGGAAAGTCAGCGTTAGGGTATTTTATGGTAAAACCGTAGTTTAATCATAGCTCAACCGTTAGACCGTTAAATAACGCATACCAATTTAGCCTTCGATACTGATATTTCGTGGCTGAACCGTCGTTAAGTTACGCTTTCATGGTTGTTCACCCCTAGACCCTAGTGACCCCGAATTCCTTCACCTGCTCCGGTCCCTCTCACTTAGGGCTGCAAACGAGCCGAGTCGAGTCGAGTTTTCGCTTAGCTTGAGCTCGGCTCGTTTATTAATTTTTCAGCTCGAGCTCGGCTCGAACTCGAATTTTGATAATCCAGCTCGAGCTCGAGCTCGGCTTGAATAAAAATAATCTAGCTCGAGCTCGACTTGGTAGAGCTCGAAAAATGCTCATTAACATAGCTTGTCAAGCTGAGTACAAGCTCGGCTCAAGATGAGCTCGATTTAAAATCATTTTTGCTGGAAAAATGTATAAACATAAGAATTTAAATGATAGAAATAACACTAGAAACTATAAATAACATCTAAATTTCATACACATCTGTATTAGAAGACAATGTTCATGTTTAAAAGAGTAATTCATCCTTCCACAAGCTCAAAACAAGGCAGCTCGCGAGCTTAGCTCGACAAGCCACCGAATCAAGCTAGCTCGCGAGCTTATCAAGCTGAGCATGGTCTAGCTCAGGCTTGGCTCGTTAACTAACGAGTTGGCTCGCGAGCCGGCTTGTTAAATAACGAGTCGAGTGTCGAACGAGTTTTTTCCGATTCGAACGCCGAGTTGCTCGCGAGCGGCTTGGCTCATTTGCAGCCCTACTCTCACTCATATCTCCAAGTCGAAGTTATATCCCTAAAATCTGTCCTTTCCTTTCCGCCTCAGAGTACTGGATTCTGAATTTCTTACACCCTCACACAGTCACACTAACAGATACCCATCCCTTCCCCTTCCCCTTCCCCTTCCCCTTCCCCTTCCTCTCCACTCTTTTTCCTTCCCTTCTTCTTCTTCTTCCAGTCCACTCAGCAAGGTAAAACCAGCGGTGAGGTAGAGCTAGAGCTCTGCACCACAAATCACAGAAGTACGTCGCCCAGAACCCAATACCAAAAACCCCTTTTCCGGCTTTCCTCCACTTTTCCTCTCCCTCTCTCATCTTTTCACCTACGGAAAGCCAGATCCCAAAGCCACAAAAGCAACCGTCCACCTTTCTCTATTTCCTTTCCAGAAAATCTGAAACTAACAGTAGTGGAAAAGAGACTAGAGAGAGGGAGAATTCGAAAAAAATGGCTTCCAAACTCTGTTTCCTCTTCTTCCTCACCTTCCTAACCCATCACTCCCAAGCGGGTTTCCTAGCCGAACCGGTCCCCAATCAACCAAACCCAAACACCGTCCCGGCCTTCCCCGTCCAGACCGACTCCCAAATCTGCCGTCTCGACCTCTCCGCCGAGCTCTTCGGCGGCGTCAACGACGCCTGCGGCCGGAACCTAGACCGGAGCCGCTGCTGCCCTGTTCTCGCCGCCTGGCTCTTCGCCGCACACGCCAAGTACGCCCTCCAAGTGCCCGCCGCCTCCCCCGCCGCCGCGGCTGCGGCCGAGGACCAGCTGCCCATGATGCCCGACGACTCCCAGAAGTGCGTGAACTCGCTGCAGAGCGCGCTGGTGAGCAAGAACGTCAAGATACCCCAGCCCAATGCCAGCTGCGACCCTATCCTCTGTTTCTGTGGGATTCGGCTCCACCAGATCACTTCCCTCAGCTGCCCGGCCGCTTTCAATGTCAGCACCGGCTTCCACAACGCCACCCCGACGGCGGCGGTGAAGAACCTGGAGAAGAATTGCAGGAATTCCTCATACTCTGGCTGTACTAAATGCCTAGGCGCCCTCCAAAAGGTATATTCTATAATCCAATCCCATAAAGAATTTCGCATTTATTGCTATATTCTTTGCCCCCAGCACTGGCATTTATTATCCTAGATTTTATCTGCATTCTCATTCCTTTGGTTTGGTTTGGTGGGTTGTTTGCTATTCACTTATTTTCTTCACAATTGATATATTACTACTACAAGGCCAAAGTCATATATGAACTTAGAACTTTCCCATAACCTTTTCTCAAGCTCGTGGGTGGCTCACTTTTTCTTGTTTCGGTTGTTAAATGGAAGGTGGGTTTCATCCAGCCTGAATTTGTTGAATGTTCAATGGCTTTTGCTCTGTTTCTTCACTGTTGATGAATGGTGGGTGAGTGGGCATGGGGAAATGGAAAAGGAAAAGATGAAAGGGAGCATTGAGAAAGTAAGGAAGAAATGTAGTAACAGAGTTGAAAAAAGAAAGGGGGGTGAGAGAGAGAAATCAACAACTTGTGGGCTTTCTTCCTCTTGTTTCCAGTCTTTTTCTGATGATAGGAAGTAGAGAAACCAGAGGTGAGCGAGTGGCCTCAGTGAAAAATGAAAATAGACAACGACCGACCCCCCTCCCTCTGATTCTGAGACACCATTTATTCACCAGCCTTCCATGTGCAGCAGATTATGATGAACCCCTTTTTTCATTACCTTGCCTTCCCTTTTGCAATCCATACAATTTGGTTCTTTCACTAGGATTTCCTCCCACTATCCCTTTCCTCTTTCGTCCCATCCCATGTCTTATTCTTTTCCTTCCAATAGTTACTGAAATGCCCTTCAATGCCGTTCGTTATTTACAGCTCAAGGCCAACGGGAACAAGACGTCCTGGGTCGGCGGAGGGAAGGAAGAGGACAGGGCGAAGAAGATGTTCAACAGGGACTGCCAGCTGATGGGGCTGACGTGGCTGCTGGCGAGGAACAAGACGGCGTACATCCCGACCGTCTCGGCGGTGCTGCGCGCGGTCATGTACAGCGCCCACCCTCACGAGTCCAAGTGCAGTCCCGACCAGGAGAACATGCCCTTGGCCGTCGACTCCTTACAGTTCCAAAGGTCCACGTCGGAGGCGGCGGCGGAAGGGAGGTCGCTGTTTTGGGTGTCAACATTGCTGGCGATAATGATTGCGGTTGCTCTACCACTAGGCGGTGGTGCTGAGTGGCGACGGTGAGAGGCTATTGTGTAATGTGTATAGCTTGTTTCTGACGTCTGGTGGTGGCTGACACTGTGCCACTGTAACTTCTTCTTCGACTGTGACCGAGAGAGAGAGAGAGAGAGAGAAGTTGGTTTTGGTGCCACGTGAAGCTAGTAGACAAAAATGGGGGCTAAGCAGAATATGGGGATTGGTTTCGCACTGCTTTTTTGTTTACCCTTATTTTATCAGCCCTGCTTGGTAACTTGGGAACCACACCCAGCTTGTAAATTTCGATGGGTTAACTACTATTGATTTTTAACTGGTTATGTGATTTTAAATGTACTTTTCACCAAGGTAGAGATGTGCAATCATCCGGTTCGTATCGGATCATACTATTACCAAATTGGCGTTTGAATTCCACTTATCGAAGCAAGTATAACCAAGTATAACGTGGTTCGATCCTTGATCCTGTAAATTTTATAATTACTAAAGAAAACATGGACCGAATTGCATATTCATAAAGTTATGAGTATTTTTCTTGCTTAAGAAGTATGGTTTTTCTTTACGAGCATCTAGATTACACTAAAACTTAAGGCTGTCAATTTGGTTTGGTTCAATTAACCGACTCGTCAAGAAGGAATAAACATAACTCGATGAGTCCCAGAAAAACAAAAATCATAATTGACAAACCTATTAATGGCGAGCACTTCTACTATGCTATATAGTATTGGTGCTTTAACGTACAACTCAAAGTTGTACCATAACATTAAATGTATAAGTTTAGGTTGTACCATAAAATAATTTGTACCATTATGTTATGGTACAACTTTACAACTTGAAATTATACCATCACATAAAGATACAAGTTCAAGTTGTACCATAAAAGAATTTGTACAAAAAATATAGATACAATCTGAAGTTGTACCATAACGTAAATGTACAATATTAAGTTGTACCATAAAGACAAAAACCTATAGCACCAATACTATATAGCATTGTAAAATTTCTCATTAATGGCTTGGTTTGGTCTAAACAAACCAAACACCAAATTTCTCCTACTTACAACGGTCATAAAATGATTTATATATATATATATATATATATTTCTTATCGGTTTCACTATTTAAAACAAGAATAGACCACAATTGTTTAAGTTGCAAAATAATTTGACATTGGAAAATTCTTATATATTACGGTTTCGATTTGAACTGAAACCAGATGGAGACCTCTACTAGAAAATTCTGAAGTGAGAGTATAGCAGGTAGAAAGTCTACAACTTGAAATGAACCCAGCTTGATTATTATCATTACAGAGCAAAAAGGTGCGGCTAAGTAAGTGCTAATCAGAGGTGTATTATAGTTGGCACTTGGCAGGATGTTTAATTTAATAATGCTGTAGATGAAAAGGCAGAAACCTTTCCGGTACACTGAACAAGGCGAATAGAGCCGTGGGCGAGTGATTAATTAATGCTAATCATGGGGAATCCGCTTCGACGACGACGACAGCCTTCAAACAAACATATGCTGTGGATTCGAGAAGCCAAGCCAGACACCTCTACGCCAAAGACCAAAGCCATATTATTAACAAAAGCAGCTTAATCGAGAGGGGGAAGCGATTTCCCAGGTTTTGAACTTTGAAGCATGTTGGTCGCATAATCAATAGTATAACTGTATAAGCAACAAATTTTCCCTGTTAATTTTGTCTTCATTTGGGAACGCGAGGGCGGGGTAGAATTTCATATTATACAATTCGACCAACCCACTACATATAAATTACTAAAATATTATTATATATAAAGCTAAAGTTTGGTTACGGTTACCAAACAAATTACAAATTAGTCACCATAATGTACATTTTATATTTTGATATCTCAAATTTAATTTTAATGTAAATTGGTCTAATGTTTATATTTCACTTGAATCTATGAATCCAATTCACCAATCCTTTTGAACCAATTTATGAATCCAATCCATTATAACATAAAAGTATAAATTTAGTTTATACCATACAAGATGTTATATCAAACTTCTACTAACTACATGTAACAAAATATGTCAGATCTACATAAGCAAGTGTCAATAAATTGCTACCGTGAAAAGGGTTGATTGTTGTATTGACGACCAACTAAAAGAATTGGTCAAAACCTTTCCATCATCTACTTACTCTTCGTTTCACTTTTTACTCACCTTCCATAACCCTTTATTTTTTCTTTGCCTTCTTCGTCTAACCGTAATTAGTATGTTATTTTTATGTATTCTAATAACAAGTATGAACTGGTCCATACATGACTCACCAATAGTCTATAGAATTAATAATTGAACCATAAACCACTAACTTTTTCAGCTCAATGTCGAGTCCAATTAAAAATAAATATATATGGTTATTAATTATAAGAAAGTCGTCATTTTTCACTATGGGATTTGAAGGGATGAAATTTTAAGCGAGTTCCAGTTTGTATTCTTTTTGCTTTTGTCTAGAGTTTTTCTTTTTCACCCGGGCTAGAATTTTCAACAATTATACATGGAATGTTTGGCTAGGTATCTACACATATCAAATAAATAGTTTTCATTTTTCTATAAAAAAAGTAAATAATTATCATTTTAAATACATCACCATAAAAGGAATTAAGCCTCAACTATGCAAATTACAGTTCGGTACCTAAAATTAATAGATATTTAGATTTATAATCTAAATTTATTTTTTTGGCATATAAGTCCTCAAAATATTGATGGAACATTACATTTTAGTAGCTAAAATTTTTGTGTATTACATTTTGGTATCTAAACTGATAAAGTTCTACAAATAGATCTAATTTTTATATGTGTAATTAAAACACTCTTGAATAAATGGGTATTCATAACCAACTCATACATATTTAGATTACAGAAGTAAATATCCATACCCTACCCAAACCCATCTACAAACCAAACCAATATATACTTCACCCAGAATGTGGAAGAGAGAAAATGCAGTAAGGAAAAAGCTAGAGTAACAAACTTTCACGTCTCCCCAATAACCTAGAGGGTCCCCGGCAACGGCGCCAAAAACTTGACACGCTAGGACACAACACCAAACTGCGACCAAGTGCAATCGCAGTCTGGAAATGCAGTAAGTGGCAAGCTCTATTTG